GCAAACTTTGTTATGGTTTTGTATTGCTGAATTCTAGAAGATATATGATTTTTTAGAAAATTAAGTTTTAAAATGTTGGAGATCATTTTTACCTTTTAATTATACCAAAAATTCAAGGCGCTTCGCGCCCTTCTTTCTAGGCTTTTAGGGTGCTTCGCGCCCATCTTCTATTTAAATTGTGAACATGTTCTTTTTGTTTACATTTAAAAACAAAGAAGAAAAAAGTTTTGCGGAGATTTAAAAAAAAAATCGCGGATTTTCAAGAATTTAAATTTTTTTATAAAATTAAAAACCTTTAAAGCACATTTTTTTAATTTTTATCATTCATAAACCTTCCCTGTGGTCACGTGATGTCCCACAAAAAATTTGGGCCCGATCGGTTCAGTCGTTTTGACGTTTATTGGATACAAACAGACAAACAGACAAGCCAAATTTATATATAGATTTCAAAATTTTGTGTAAAGAATAATTCTTTTATTATTGTAGAGAGAAATGAGAATGCGGAGAACCCCCAGTATTGTATGTCTAAAAATCTTATGAAAATACTAAATCTAAAAAGAAGCAAGAAATCCACGAGTAAAAAGTCTGATTAGAAAAGTTAAAATTTTCTTGTTTTGATATAATTCAATAAATAAACTAGAAAATAAACAATATATGTCATGTCTATTTTAACCTCCCACCCTTCACTAAACCCTACTACAGTGCAAATTACAGCAGAACACACTAAAAGTGCAAATTACTGAAGAACACACTGAAAGTGCAAATTACAGCAGAACACACTGAAAGTGCAAATTACTGAAGAACACACTGAAAGTTTAGTTTTGGGTGGCATTTAACTTAATATTTTGTCCATTTTTTAAGAAGTGGCCTTTTTTTGAAAATTTTATTTTTGGGTTATTCATTTATTTTGAGATTGCTCAAAAGTTTAGAAGTCGCCTAATAAAGGTATCCTATTACAGTGATAACCAGAAAACTATGGAATATGAAAACGACATTAAAGCAATACTAAATTGCATTCAATGTTGTTACAAAGCGAATACCTCAACTAGTGAGTTATTAAATCACTTATTACATAAAATGGGTCTGTTTACACTTCACAATTGCTGTGCCTCATGTTTATTGGATTATTTAAAGTCATAACTGGAGTCTAAAAGTCGACTTCCTTTTCCGGAGTTTTCTGGTAATCACTGCATAACCGACGAAGAGTAAAAGAAGTTTTATTTGCTTTCTAACAACATCAAATACACTTAAGTATTGTTATAAGTCGTCTTCCTATTTCAGACTTTTCTTGTTTTCACTGTAATAAAACGCGCATTCAAACAAAATGTGCAAAATAAAAATACACAGGGTGAGTCATAAAGTGTGATTAGCGGCACCTGGTACAAAACTGTACCTTTTTTATGCAACTCTTCTGTATGATGTTTTTTCAATATTTTTTGAAAAAATCCGCAAACCTTTTTTTCTCTCAAAATCCAAAGTTCAGAAAAGCAAAAATTTCTATGTAAATTTTATCGATCAAAATCTAAAATTTTATAAAATTTAAATCACAGAATCAAAGAAAATTCGCAAAATTGTAATGAGAAAATTTGCAGCTTTTAGTTCTAGCCTAATTTTAAAAAAAAATATAAATTTTACACCATGCGTCGCTAATCACACTTTTTTTTGACTCACCCTGTAAAGTTTACAATTAACGCATCATAGGCTCTAAACTTAAATACCGAACTAGATTAGACATCTCTGAATCACCGTGTAATTGATATGTGTAGTTGAATGTGTATTAAATTACGTGAATTTAGATAAACAAATGTAAAGTTATCTGTTAAGTATTTCAAATTATTATCATTATCACTTTCTCAATTTAAGATTAATATATTTCAATCCCTCCCCCCTCTCTAAAAAGAAAAAATTAAGTGTGAAAATTTTTTATTTTGAAATCAATGGTGAACATTTGTTAATTTTTAAATAAATGGTGAAAATTTTTTATTTTTAAATATTTTTTTAGTTTCAATACCTGAAAAAAAAATAATAATGCAGTTTTGTGCCAATAGCATTAATTTGTATGTTCTTAATTAGATAGTGAAAAAATTAAGAATGTCTAAATGGGAAATGTGGTGCCCCCTTTAGGGTTGTTAATCGTTTTTGTAAACGATCGTTAAACTATCGTTTTTTGTTTCGTTTTCAAAAAAGATCGTTTCGTTTTCGGAAAATAAATATCGTTTTAGAAACGACCCACTCGTTTTGAACTTTTAGAAAACGAATAGCCATCGTTTTTGAAAACGATCGTTTTTGTTAAAACGATTTGCGACCGTTTTTTATACGATTGTTTAAAAAAACGAGTGTTTTTGAAAAAAGATCGTTTTTGAAAAAAACGATAGTTTTTTGAAAAAAATTCTTATTTACAATTATGTTAACGATCGTTAAAGAAACGACGAATTTTATAAAAACGATCGTTTTAAAAACGACCATTTTTAATAAAATAACTTTTATAAAAAACGATCATTTCGTTTCTGATTTTTCGTCGTCGTTTTCATAACGAAACGATCGTTTATCAAAAAAATGAAAACGTTAACATCCCTAGCCCCCTTTTAACATTTAAAAAAAATCTTTCATAAACAAGCCATCGCGCGTCCAGTTGAATGAATGATTTTATTGACATTCTGTGAAATGTTTCTATGAGATAAAAAGAGTTTTCTAATTTGCATTAACTTTTTATCTTGAGTTCAAATTTTATTATCTTTAAATTAATTCGAAATTATAAATTCATGGAAAATTCGAAAATTCAACAACAAGCTGCCTGAGTAAAAATAATATTAAGCACAGGGATTTTCAGTCATATATGCTATAGTTTTTTTTCTTTAATTTACAAGAACTGTCACCAAAGTTCACGGGACTTATTTTATTTAAAAGGAACTGAGTTTTTGTCACAAACTTTTCAACCTGATAGTGTAAACCTATGATATTTCAAACTTAGATTATTCGGTCTAACAGGATTCATAGTTTGAAATTTCAAAGGCTTACGTCATCAGTTTGTAAAGATTTAGGGATTAGAAAATTAAAGTTTGTGACATAAACTCAATTCCTTCGTGATACAGTTGATTTTCTTTCTTGGTATATTGGATTTCGGACAGATCCACCATTTTGCCTGCAAGTAATTCCGAGTCATTATTATTATATTATTATATATTATTATATTATTATATTTTGATTAGTAACAAACTCAAGAGCTTACTTTAACAGAATTCTTCTTAGCTTTGAAAAGATAAAGGAAGTTTAGTTCATGTTACATATTTTTTAAGTATTAGACTATTTACCCCATATAATGGAACGTTCAATAAATTTTTGCTGAAATTTGATAAATTTTTAAGAACATAACAGAAAAATCTTTTAAATAAAGAATTCGTTAAGTGAAAAACTTTGATGACAAATATTATTTAAGTCTTAGGTTACAACTAAATAGCAACGATTTGTAAATAAAACAATAAACTTTATCAAAACTAAGATCTACGTTTTATGAATTTTATATTTTTAGCAACCAACGTGCACACTCACAGTAAACACTTGACAAATAAATCTCACAACCAACTTTTTTTAATTACATAAAAAAAAACAATAAGATATATATTGAAATATTTATTGATAAAAGCCGAATAATTAAATAAATAAAAGTCCAAGTTCTATTTAAAATGAAAAAGTGTCTTAATATTCTTCTCCTCCCTCTCCCTCGGCCTCCAAGCTGTCCATACCGACCTCCTCGTAATCCTTCTCCAGGGCAGCCATATCCTCCCTGGCCTCGCTAAACTCTCCCTCCTCCATGCCCTCTCCAACATACCAGTGGACAAAGGCTCTCTTGGCGTACATCAGATCAAACTTGTGATCCAGGCGGGCCCAGGCCTCAGCGATAGCGGTGGTGTTGGACAACATGCAGACCGCTCTCTGCACCTTGGCAAGGTCTCCTCCAGGTACAACAGTAGGAGGCTGGTAGTTTATACCAACCTTGAACCCGGTTGGGCACCAGTCAACAAACTGGATTGTACGCTTGGTCTTGATCGTAGCTATGGCGGCGTTAACATCCTTGGGAACTACATCACCTCTGTACAGCATACAGCAGGCCATGTACTTCCCGTGGCGAGGGTCGCACTTCACCATCTGATTGGCAGGCTCAAAGCAGGCGTTAGTGATCTCAGCCACGCTCAACTGCTCGTGGTACGCCTTCTCAGCCGAGATGACGGGGGCGTAGGTGACCAGAGGGAAGTGGATCCTGGGGTAGGGAACCAAGTTGGTTTGGAACTCAGTCAGGTCGACGTTCAAGGCTCCGTCGAACCTGAGGGAGGCAGTGATCGAAGAGACGATCTGTCCAATCAGACGGTTCAAGTTTGTATAGGTTGGTCGGTCTATGTCCAGGTTTCGTCGGCAGATATCGTAGATGGCCTCGTTGTCAACCATGAAGGCGCAGTCAGAGTGCTCGAGTGTGGTGTGGGTTGTCAGTATAGAGTTGTAGGGTTCTACTACAGCAGTTGCAACCTGAGGGGCCGGGTACACAGCGAACTCAAGCTTACTCTTCTTTCCATAGTCGACAGAGAGTCGTTCCATGAGAAGAGAAGTGAATCCAGATCCGGTTCCTCCACCGAAGGAATGGAAGATGAGGAACCCCTGTAATCCGGTGCACTGGTCAGCAAGCTTCCTAATCCTGTCAAGAACCAAGTCAACAATCTCCTTTCCAATGGTGTAGTGACCGCGGGCATAGTTGTTGGCAGCGTCCTCCTTACCAGTCACCAGTTGTTCAGGGTGGAAGAGTTGACGGTATACTCCGGTTCTGACCTCGTCAATTACAGTAGGTTCAAGGTCTACGAATACAGCTCGGGGGACGTGTTTGCCGGCTCCAGTCTCAGAAAAGAAGGTGTTGAAGGAATCATCTCCACCTCCCATCGTCTTGTCAGAGGGCATCTGACCATCAGGTTGGATTCCTAAAGAGAGACAACTTAAAAATTGTTCTTCTGCAAAGCAAATAATTATAAAGAAATAATTATTTACTTCAATGTTAAACAACATTGAACCAAAGAGAGGGGGGGTCAGATTCAGAATTATTGAATTGAAATTGTCTTAACCCAACCAATAAAAAATATATAATAATCATTTGGCTGAAAAAAAATTATCATTCACAAAATGAATAGGAGTGGGGGGGGGTCTGTCCTAGAGAACAATTTTTGGACCCCCCCCCACGATCCTGGTCCAATAAAAATATCAGGGATTCAATATTGTCATAATATTGTTCAAAAGTTGAGAAACATAATGTTCTCCTTACCATGTTCAAGGCAGTAAAGCTCCCAACAAGCGTTACCAATCTGACACCCTGCCTGTCCAACGTGAACGGAAATGCACTCTCTCTAAACAATAAAATAAATTATTGATATTTCATAAACGAATCGTCTTAAATATTTAAGCGGACTTTTATTATCAAGTTGACAAAATAAGATTTTTACTTTTATAAAAACAAATATATTACAATAAAAAAGTCTTACCATGATGTATAAAAAATGATCTAGAGCAGCCGAGTGATTAAGTCGCCGGGTAACTCGAGAATAACGAAAATTAGCAGCCGTTGGAATGGCGGGTTCACATTCACAACACCACCGCTCCCTTTCCTTTTAACCAATGAGAATTCAGCGAGCGAGCGTAGGGTCCTACAGAAATAAAATATTTGTAACTCTTCTTGGAAATTTTAGAAATTATCTAGAATTCAACTTTGCAGGCATAAAAAGTATAAAATATTATAAAAATTCAAAAATATACATAATTTTGTCAATTTGTAAATAGAAAAAACTGTACGACCCTAAAATTATTGACCAATCAAAGTGCAGGCAGCGAGACTTTACTTTCCTCTATTGTGAGTCACTCACCGGTTGAAGAAAGTTTGCGTGTTTCAAAAATAAATCATTAATTTTTGGAGATCCGAAAAATCGTCATGAAACAGAGTCATAATTGCAGCATAGATACTTATATATAAAGAGATGAATCATTTAGAGGAATTTTTTAGACCTCAAATAAGAAAATTATGTCGTCTGCTATTATATAAAATAAAAATGCACGCAATACTATTTGTTCTTCGAGACAAGCCAGGCATGACATATATCCTTCTGACGCTCGCATGCGTGCGCCTAGACTCCCTAGACAGGAAATAGCTTGAAGCGCGCACAACGCGCTTTACCGTAATTACACGAGAAATTGTATTGTACTGATATTTGAAATAAAACATTTACTTATGAAAGTAACTGCAGCATAGCTCCTGTAGCATGATTTCTAATACCCTTCAACTGAAAAATGTATCTGCTTGCAAAAATTATCATGTTAAATATATTGTTTTTTTTTAGGTTAAAAGTATTTAATTCTGGTAATTCCTAGATAATTCATTTGAAGTTAGACATTCAAGTAGAACTCATGCACAATTTCACTTAATTATGAACACGGATATCTAATTCATACTTACTTGACTGCCAAAGCTTCTAAGAGTATCACTGTAAATCGGACATTTCCATCTGTCACTTGACATTGCGATTACGATCCCTTTCAGTGTCAATTATTTTGTGAAGTATAATATTTCACTGATATTCATAACTTTTTAAAAATAATTTGTTAAAAAAAACATAATTTGATGCATATCTCTGTTAAGAAAAATGACATAAAAAAGAAAATTACAACACATTTTGATATATGTTATAGGTTTGAGATTATAATAATAGATTTGTATTTTAAAGGTATAGTATTCCACAAAATAAAAGACTCTGAGACAAAAACTATATGATTTATAATATTAAGTAAGTAAGTAATTATATATTTATGAAATGTAACAAAAATACACAAAATGAAGTGTTTAAGGAGAAAATTTTCAAGAACCTCCAAAAATAAAGGTTGTGGGAATATTTCCCCCCATTCTAGAAAAATATAAAAAATAGAAATTAAAGGAAAAGGAAAGGAATTATTGTGTATTTTTATTTCTTTAATTCGACTAATTTACATTCTAATGTTTTATTTTAAATGTTGTCAAAAATATCTTATTTAAAGGGCTGTATAGTCATAATTTCAAATCACTCTACAATCAAATATTAGCCTTAAACCTTAATCTGATCAATAATGGAAAAGATAACGTCGTTTTTCAATCTTGAAAAGTGTTTAATTCTGCTGATTTCTACATTGTTTCTGAAGCTAGAAACTTGCGTAAGAACTTCAGAAGTCACGTTTGCAGAGAAACCACAAATGAAAATAAACAGTTTTCAAAAACGGAAACATGAATATCTAATTCAAAGGAATTGAGTCTTTTCCACAATCTCTAACTTTTTAATCCTTATATCTCTGCAACCTGATGGTGTAGAAATTAAATATTTTGAATTCTGTTATTGTTAGATCAAGTATTTTCAGTTTAAAATGACAAAGATATGTTTGTTAATTCTAACTAAATTTAATTTTAAATGTGGCAAGTATAACCATTATGGCAAGTTTAACTTATGACAACTGTTACTTATGGCAAACATATTATGGCAAAGGTAATTATGGCTGAAGTATTTATGGCTAAAGTATTTATGGCAAATGTATCTGAGCCTGACTTGATGTTTAAAGTTTTGTTATAGGTTAACCGACCTGCAACAAAAATAACCTTATAAATTCAGAGGCGCAACCTAAGGGGGGGGGGTAGTCTATATAATCCCCCCCTTCGATTGAAAAAGAAAAAAATGTCCGCACAAAATAAAGGAAAAGACGAAATTTACATGAGTTTGCCTAGGAAAAGATCCAATATTCTAGGATTTCATTCTAAAAATGTGGACAATGCACAATGTATAATACACCCCCCCCCCATACTAAACACCTCTGATGCGCCTCTGCTTGAATTTCTTACCTATGTAATCTGTTCGTATTATTGAATGATATAATTCTAATAGAATTTTTAATTGTAATGCATGAAATCTATATCAACCTAACCTTAATCAATCAACCAACGTCTCAATCCGACCTGTCCCATCTTATACTACAAAAACAACGTTCAGGTCTGGAATTGCCTATAGTAGACAGTAGATCGGTTGACAAGTTACGATGACTTTAAAGCATATGTTTAAAACCTGGCGGAAAGAATTGATTTTGTAACGGTTGGGTGGTTTTACAGTATATATCCTGTTTGGTCGATTCTACACTCCTTATAAGTTTATATAAACCATTGACCAAACTCCCGGCTCTTCCGGACGGGGGAGGGGGAGGCCGGGGAGGAGGGGATGTTTTTCAACCCCACTCCCCTCCTCTTCATATAGGATTTAATTAATTTTTTCTCTATAGAAGACCTTCTAGGAACGTTTATCAGGAGTGATACTCAGCACCCCGTAAATACGCGTTTCTGATGTTTAAATAATTTGCCTTCAAAATTTACTTTATATGTATTCTATTAATATTAGGGATGTTTGTTTATGATTGTATACAATCATAAACAAACTAAATAATATTGTATACCATCATAAACAAACTAAATAATATTGTATACAATCATAAACAAACTAAATAATATTGTATACTATCATAAACAATCTAAATAATATTGTATACAATCATAAACAAACTAAATAATATTGTATATCTTTATTAAGAGAGTGAGTCGAAAAAAAGTTAGATTAGCATCGTCTTGTGCAAAATTGTCAGCTTTTTGTGAAAATCACATCAAATACATAATATACTAATTGCTTTTCTGGATGTCTGTCCATTTGTGTCCTATAAACACCGAAACAGCGAAACCGATCGGGCCAAAACTTTGTTTGGGAGTGGGACCTCACATGACCCCAGGAAAGGTTTATGAATTTCCAAAGTTGAAAAAATGTCCTAGCCGTTTTAAAGTTAGTTAAATCTTTATTTGTCTGGGTGTTTTTTTGTTTGTTTGTTTTTATGTTTGATCATTCAATCAAAACTCATGAATGTCTTGGCCGATAAAGTTAAATTTGGTTTTAGGTACTTTTCCAAAGGCATTTTCCCAATAGCGACTTCCCAAGTGGCAAACTTCCCGAGTGGCAAACTTCCCAAGTGGCAAACTTCCCAAGTGGCAAACTTCCCTAGTGACAATATCCCAAGTGGTAAACTTCCCAAGTGTGCAATTTCCCAAACGGCATCTTCCCAAAGGTTGGGATAAGCTATCTGAGGCACCGTAGGCTGCAATGGAGGCCGAGCGCAGAGGTCAGGATGGGCTAGAGGGATGATCGCTGAGGCTAAAACATGCTGGCGGCCGAACGCTGCGGCTAGGACAGAATTGGGAAATTGCTGCTTGGGAAATTACACATTTGGGAAGTTGGTCACTTGGGAAAAATCCTTTGGAAAAGTACCTAACATCTTAAAAGTTGTATTGGGGAACTCGGTAGAACCACAGGAGTGTTCATAACTTGTCTAAAAAGATATAAACGAAGAAGGTCGATCAGAAAACTAAGTTTCCACGCAGAGCTAGGTTCCTATGCAAGCTGTTTATAATATTCACGAACTGCAACTTATTGCCATTTTTTAACTCGTTGACAAAAGGAAAACGTGAGCATTTTTCACCATTAAGCCAATGCGACTTTCACCCCCCCCCCTCCCCCAACCCAACCTTACACAATAGAATGCAAACAGTTTTATATGCCCTCCTTATATTGTAGATTTCTAAATACAGGGTTACCCACAAAAGATGAGACTTCAAAGACGACTGTACTGTATAAAGTGTATACAGAGCTGAAAACTTCAGAATGGTGGATATCAGGATTAATGCTTGATCCTCTCTTTTTGATTATCTCAAGATTAACATAATCTTGCAAGATTATCTTAAAAGTGTATGAAAATCATGAAAAACTGTAATCATCTGAGAAACTGTAGCAGCCAATCAGAGAAAAGCGGACAACCAATGAGAGAACAGAAATATTCTCATTGGAGAAAACAATTAACAGATATCCAAGGAGAGGGAAAAAGAGTGGATTAGGACAAAAATGAAAAGTTTCCACAGTGGATATTCGGATCAAGAAGTCAGAATTAAAGTTTATCCATTCTGAAGTTCCCAGCTCTGGAAAGTTTGAGTGCTTTAATCCCCTATAATAAAATGTAAATAAAAATAATCACGATCTAAGGCTGTTAACGTTTTCATTTTTTTTTAAACGATCGTTTCGTTTCGATATCGTTTTCAAAAAGATCGTTAATCGTTTTCTAACAGTTCATAACGAGTGGGTCGTTTTTAAAAACGATTGAAAAACGAAACAAAAAACGATCGTTTTCAAAAACAATGAACAACTCTAGATACAGCTACACTAAGAGTAAAATTGAGTTTGTACTGTTCCTCGGACCAACTATATGCAGGGTTACAATACTGATGCTGCATAAATCTTCAAATGCCACGATCTAACGATTTACTTTTTTCTTCATGCATTGAATATAGTTTGCAAAGTAATAACCCAAGTTTATAAATCTAGGAGAAAAGTAAAGGAAAATAATAAGTATTTACTATTTAAGAACAATAATTGCGTTTCGTGCTTCTTATTTAGCAACAATTTTACCTTTTAGATGCTGATTTTCTATCACTAATAATGATGGATTTTCAAAATCTTAATAGTCGACATTTAGTTCCAGGCATAAACTGTCCCTGAAGCCATGAGAGTGATCACAAAAAAAATGTGTTTGATCGGTTTAGTCATTTTTACATTATTGAATACAAACAGACAAGCCAAGGTCCAAGGGTAAATATAAATTGCTCTTATTATCACAGGGTAGCTAAAAAAGTTCATTAATCAGTAGAAAATCTTTGGTTTTTTCTGTGAAACATCTTCTTTATATATAAAGTAGTAATCTCTATTTGTTTGTTTGTATATCATATCATTACTTGACCGATTGGCCTCAAATTTTGATTGTGGAACTTGGAAGAACCACGGGAATGTTCTTAACTTGGTTTAAAAATTCTTAGTTGAGTGAGTTGAGTTTTCTAGAGAAAACTCGAGGCAAAGCTGGGTTCCCAAGCTAGAGCTATAATAATTTACTGTTCAAGAAGTAAAAAGAAGAAAAAAGAGAAAAAAACAGCTCTTACATAATAGTTAGTTTGTATATCCGTGTATATTTAATAATATAATTCAAAACATAAAACATTATTCTTTTACAGATTTTCTAGAGAAAGCTTTAGCCAAAGCTGGGTTCCCATGCTAGAACCATGATAATTTACTGTTCAAAAAGAAAAAAGAAGATAAAATACAGAACTTACATAATAGTTTGAAGTTTGTGTATCTGTATGTATATATAAATACAATTCAGGCAAAAATTAATACTCTGTCTATGAAATTACCTATTAATGGCAAATTTTCTCCGTCTATAAAACTATCTAGGACAATTTTTTTCGTCAATATAATTACCTGTTCATGACAAAGTTTCTATCATTGAAATGCCCTTTTCTTAAATTTCTTTTCCCGTTAAATGTTAGATGGCCTATGAATGTCCTGTCTATGAGAATCTATGAATGTCCAGTCTATGAGAATTTCTATGATTTTGTTTTCAATTAACGTCATTCTAACTCAGTAGGAGCCACAATTAATCTTGACACTTAGGTCAAAAATAAATTCAATCAGTTTGAAAAATAATAATTTTATTCAGTATAAAATGAACATTTTTAGGTTTGATTTTCAACTATAATATACAATACAGTCATGTGTAAATTTGTGGAACATCTTTTCATCAAAATAGATTCAAATAGTTTTTATATTAATATTAAAGAGACGCTTAAAACATTTTAAATGCAAGACTGGGCGATTTAAAGCATGTATTTTAGTTATTAGAGAAAGAAAACTTTTTTAACATCCAAAATCTTTTTTTTCTAAATAATTGTCTCTCTAACCAAATGAAAGCAAGTTTGAAGCAAAAACCTGGTTGTGTAAAAACAATACAAAACATGTAAAATGTTTAAATATCGGGGAATTTTGAGGCATTTAGCTGATAATTGTAAAACACGCCAATGTTGTTTGAAAAATGTTAACTAAAGTAGCTGGAATAAAGTGCTTCTCGCTTAAATGGACTGTGGTTGTAATTTCAAGCAATTCTTCAATAAGACGGTCATGCGCGATTTACAATGGTACCATTGAAAAACAAAATTAGATAATTGATGTTGAAAATGTCCTGGTTTTTCTTGGCTAAAAGATTTATTCAATATTTATTTCTACATATTTTTCCTTTAGCATCGAAGTAGTAGTGAAACCATGATTGATAAAGCTTTCTATCTTAAGGGTATCGATGTGAATCGGCATGCCGTTTTCTAAAATAGGAGGGTACTAATGAGAATCGGCATGCCGTTTTCTAAAATAGGAGGGTACCAATGAGAATCGGCATGCCGCTTTCTAAAATAGGAGGGTACCAATGTGAATCGACTGGCCGATATCTAAAATAGGGTCACTTAAAAATTACACCCAAAGACTCTTTATTAGTATTCCAATAGTTATTATATTATATATCTACATTTTAGGTCAACAAATTTTAGCTGTCTAATTTTATTTGGGCTCTACTACTTGCTTTGTTTGTTGTTGTGGGGCTCTGGGCCTCCAGGTTTTTATTTTATTGGGGCTCTGGATTTTTACATTTTAGTTTTAATTTGTTGTTCTTTTTTGTTGGGACCTTGAATTTTCAGGTTGTTTTTGATGGGGCCCTGAATTTCTAAGTTCTTATTTTGTTGGGGCCCTGGATCTCCAAGTTCGTCACAAATCTTCATCAAAAGGCCGGGACATCAGACGATTTAGATCAGTGTTCCTAAACAAACAAAAACATTTAATATTTTACTTAATCCGTTTAAATTCCGAAAAAGCACTAGGATACTATGATTACGAAACAAGATCAACCTTCATCAAATAAAGCATAATGAATAATGAATTCTCCTGTTTTCGGAAAAATTCCCCGATTTCTAAGTTTAAATCGATCAATTTCATGAACTAAAATAAATATATTTTGAATATCCCTGATACTGCGTTTAACAGTGTTCACTGTACAGTGTACAATGTACATTATATGTATTAAAGTACTGTGTACAAATTATAGACTGCGGAGCCCAAAACTTAAGACATATATGACATATTGTTATGAAACCCAGTTTCACGAATTAAGAGTACACAATTTTGTAGATATCAATTATCAATATATTTTTAAAATATTATTCTATAGGGTTAATTTTATATTCTCTCTTTGTTTTATACTTCTTAATGGTTAATCTAAAAAAATGTGTTGTACTGAGTACAGACTAGCTTTTCCAGCGAACAAAAACTTTCGCGAAAAAACTGCGAAATTTTTGCGTTTTCTCGCGAAATTTTCACATTTGCAAGATGCAAAATTTTTGGCGAAACGATTTACCCTTTTTGCAGGAAACCCTAGTACAGACCCCTATAGGGAAACTCAATTGAGTCTCGTTCAACGACACTTTTAAATTTCAGGCTCTTTAAACAAAGAAAAGCATATATCTAGGCAAGCAATATTAATTAATTTCAAAAGTTCCATCAACAATTCACAACGGTAAATTTGCATCTTTATCCAAGTCATGTTTACCGTTTTTTTTTCTTATAAATTACGGGCCGCAGTTTTCTTGACATCGCCACAAAATGGCAGAAAATGGGATAATATATGAAAGAACCCCCAGTTTTGTGCTGTTGTTTAAAGGTTAAAAATAATGGTTCTTTGTTGATGAAACAGTTCAATTAAAGAAACTATTTTTAAAAAGTGTGCGCAGGAGTTGAAGCAAAATACCGCGTCTAAATCCTCGAAATATGTTCTAGATCGTCGATCAGAATCCGCCATATTGTAAACAGAAGATCGCTTTCTAATCATTCAGAAAATTTTAAAATAGTAAAAAGTTTTATTTGATGCGAAAAATAGTGTAAATACTGCTAATTTTCTATTGTTATTCTCTTTACTTAAATTGACAAAGATTTTTCTTACTTTTCTCTTCTAATGGATGTTACCAAGATTTTGGGGATTTTTTTTTAAATAACGAAAATAAATACCTTCTAACGGAACGACGCATGGCATCATTGGTCCTGTAGGGAACAGCTTTTATATCCATGATTATCTGTTCCAGGGTTCCGTCCTAAATTAAAGATTATGAATTAGCTTTACGCAAAATGAGTGTCGTCTTAGTTCCTTCCTTTGATAATAATTGTCGTAAACTTTAAAATCCAAAACAACATTCAAAATCAGAAAACGAAGCCGACAATCATCCCCTGTTTAATATATATATAATAATAAAATTATATATTATAATTGTATAAAACAAAATATTTATCAAGTGCGATGGGGGGAAAAAGATTATAAATCAAAATTGAGTATAATTCATAAACTGATTGTAGTAAAAAAACTTTAAAAAAACTTGGGCAAAAATTTAAGACCAAGAAAGAAACATCATTATTATCTAGTTCGGTATGAGTTTTTTTTTGTTAATTTTCTAACCTTCACTTCTTCCGGTTTAATCATTTGCTTCCGGTTTCTCGACTTAATCTCGTCTGAGATCAACATTGCCTGCTTCTTGTTATTAAAATTATTCTTCGTAACAACGCTCGCCATATCGTTGTTGTTCTGCACCGCGGCCAACTGTCTCGCCTTCTCCAACTTCTTCTTCTTCTCATTCTCCATCTCCGCGTTTTTCCACCCGTTGATGAACCGGAGAAGAATTGCAAAGAATGCGTTGGAATCCATTGATTTATTGCTCTCCCCGTAGTGCTCTAAACAATCCGTAAACGCGGCCTTTGCGCTGCTCGCGTCAGCTGATAGTTTTGTCAGTAACTCCTTTGCGTTGTCAGCGAAGTCCTTGAGGACAAGGTTCTGCTGCTGCTTGGAGGAGGTTGAGGTGTTGGCCTGCCTGGCTGCCAGCTCCTTTAAGGTCAAGTTCATCCCCTTCTCCAACTCCTGGACGTCCGTCAGTATGTTCTCCAGTGAGAACTGAGCAGCCTGGAATAATTTTTTTTATAAAATCATAATTTCCTCCCGTCAATTTACTTAATGATTGTCCCATTTATTTTCTTATTTAAATGAACAGCCTTAAATGTTCTTAGTTTCATTTTCAATTTTAAAGCATCCAATGTCCGAATTTAATGAATGTAAGTCGCGTCTCAAATACCCCAAAAACCGGCTTAAATTGAGCCCCGGCTAAGTCTTGAAAATATAATTCAATTTTAAGTGAAACCAATCATATTTGAGCCGCGGCTTAAATTTAAGCATTACTCGTTTTTTAGAACTGAAAGAATAAATTTTGAAAACTATATTTCTGTATAATGCACCATCATTATTAATTGTTAGGCCTAATAATTAAATAGAGTAGGAATCGATCAAAATTATTACAAGTTTCCTTTATAAACAAATACTATTAAAAATTATTAAAGAAAAATTGTTTCTCTTTGACTGAATAGAAGGATTCGTTTCAGTTCAATTTCTTTTTACCTTGTCAATATATTTTAGCTCGGTTTCAAACCCCTTGAGTTCCTTGTACTTCTCATTGACCACCTCCACAATGTAGTTGACTATTGTTGACTTCTTGTCACTGGATTTGGTTATATACAAGCTGTCAAGGGACTGTAGCTTGAACCCGTAAGCTGACCCTTTTTTACTAGAGTTCATGTAGTTACCAAAAGCGAGAATAATTTCGAGGATTTTCTGAAATTTCTTCGAGTTTCTGGTGGATTTTGAGCCTAGGTAGACAGCTTCGATCCTTGGTTTGATTGCATGAGCGAGCTCGAAGAAGGTTGACATGAACGACATTATTTCGAGTTTTGGACCCAGACGTTCAACTTTAGCAAGCTTGGCCATAAACCTGAAAAATATTTTAAGTTTAAGGAAGTTTTGACATCTGAAAATCAATTTGTTCTATCCTAATTTCTGTTCATCCTACCTATTCTTATTCCAGGTCTTCCTAACCTTACTCCAGGTCATCCTAACCTTACTCCAGGTCATCCTAATTCTATAATACTATTCCAGCTCTTTCTAATTTAGTTCTTTTTCTACACTTTTCTATTTCTTTTCTACCTGATCTTATTCCTTTTCTACATATTTTCAGTCCTTTTTTCTTCTTTTCTTATTTCTTTTCTTCATTATCTTATTCCTTTTCTTCCTAATCATATTCCTCTATTTCCAAATCAAATTCCTTTTCTTGATAATCGTATTCTTTTCCTTTCTTATCTTCTTCCTTTTCTTCCAAATCTTATTCCTTTTCTTCCTAATATTCTTCATTTTCTTCCCATTCTCGTTACTTTTCTTCTTAATCATATTCCTTTTCTTCTTAATCATATTCCTTTTCTTCTTAATCATATTCCTTTTCTTCTTAATCATATTCCTTTTCTCATAATATTATTCCTTTTCTTCTTAATCATATTCCTTTTCTTTCTTTTCTTTCTTTTCTTCCTAATTCTTCTTAATTCTTTTTCCTAATCCTATAATTCTTTTTCCTAATTCTATAATTCTTTTTACCAATCCTATCATTCTTTTTCCTAATCCTAAAAATCTTTTTCCTAATTCTATATTTCTTTTTCCTGATCCTATTCCATCCTTCTTAATCCTATCATTTTTTTCTAATCTATTCTTCTTAATCCTATGATTCTTTATCCTACTCCTATTGTTTTCCTGATAATCATATTATTCTCTTCACTAATCCTATTATTCCTTCCTATTATTTACCTGTCCTCTTCTGTGAGTTTCTCTAAATCCTTTTTACTATTTACATAATCTCTGTATTGTTTAATTTCTTCAGTTGTCGGGGTTATACGCTGCAGTAATTCTAAACATAAAATTTAGAATTAATTAATCGAATATTGATCTAGCACAAATATTAATCAATTTTAGATCAATTCATCATTCGGTTCAACACAAACAATTATTTAAACAACTATTTCCTCAATTTTACCAATTTTAATCAATCAATATATATCATTTTACCTAACTAACATCCAAATGACCACTTAATCAATCCTTTAACCAGTTCATTCATCAATCTATCAAAACTATCTCCATCGATCCTCAAATCAATCAATTCACCAGTTCATTCATCATCCATAACAACTATTTCAATCAATCGTCAAATCAATCAATTAACCAGTTCATTCATCATCCATAACAACTATCTCAATCAAGCCTCAAATCAATCAATCAACCAGTTAATTAATCAATCCATAGATAAAACAATCATTTTAACAGTCATTAAATAAATCAGCAAATCAATAAATAAAAATAAATAAAACAACATTTATCAAGAATCCCACCAAACAACCATCTAACTAAAACGTACCAAGCATCTAACCAACCAGCCACCCAATCAAACAACTAAAACAAACTAATCAGCCAATCAAACAACCAACAATACAACCAGCCAACCAACTAAAACATCAATTAATCTATTTATTATAACAAAAAACATTTTATGAATTTATCCGTTCAATCCAAAAGCAAATAGGCTACTAACCAACCACCTCAGACAATGATAAAAACATCCAACCAACCAGCAAACAAACCAACCGACTATCCGACCAACCAACCAACATCAATTAATCTATTTATTATAAAAAAAACATTGTATTAATCTAACCGCTCAATCCAAAAGCAAATAACCTTACCAACTAACCACCTCAGACAATGACAAAACATCCAACAAACTGCTCCTGCCAACCAACCAGCAAACCAACCAACCAGCAAACAAACCGACCAAATCAAATCAAATCAGGCTTTTAGGATTCAATCTCAAGATGACTAGCTTTACTAAATCAAGAATGAAGCAAGGCTTGTAAACTGTATGACTTTTCTTTTTTAAACTTTATTAAATGTTTTCCAATTAATTGTTTTTTTGAATTTAATAATCCTTAAAATCAGTTTATGAAAATATCTCTCCAATCAGCTGCTCCTACCTATAGCATCCAATCCTATTGCTGCATTGTCTAGAGCATTAATATTTGCGATTAAATCTTCCGGAGACATGTGCGGTAGACGTCTTTTACAAATTGCAACATTCTTCAACCTTAAGATATAAAACAAATCAAATTTGAGTTTTGAAAATAAAAAGTGGACAAAGGTCTTATGATCTGTCTACAAAGTTATCCAGAGCCCGCAATTCAAACAAATTCAGGGAAATATGGCTCGGGGGTAAGCTGGACCTTATTTACGACTTGGGATTTCTGATTCAAGCTGCATCTTATTTTCCATGAGTTTTTAAAAAACCGGTTTAATATTCTATTTGGCGGATTTTCAGGGTAGGAATTGACACATTCTGGGTTTTTATGAGAACAAGACTCAACATTGAGACTTATTCTCCACTAAGACCAACCAAGATCGTTTTATTTTCGTTATCTTGCAGCTGTCAATCACGTGACACAAGCTGTCGTCCGACTTGGGTCGAAGATTGGGTCGTAAAGTCGGGTTTAAGGAATTGTACGGCTCGAGCCGGAGTTTTTAAATCGCGGGCTCTGTGAGCGTAATTTTAAGAGACACTTCATGCATATATTCACAACGGTACCTGTAAATGCTTTGTCGGATCAAATATGTGTTAAATATCAATGATAATAGTTTTTTAACTGTGGTTTCTCTACATAAGTGACTTGCGTATTTCTACTATACAGGAAAACATATAGGAAAATCAGAAATAAGAATTTTAAAAGATAGAAAATCTTCAATCAGATCAAGGCTTCAAGGGTACAGTTGTGAATCGGGCATTGGTCACTTTAAATTACGCTTACAGAAATGATGGTTCGGATTCATTTATCATTTAAAAATATATTTGAATATATTTGAATAAAAGGGAAAAAGAGAAAATGGTGACCTATTTTTTCATTTACCTTGTATGTTCCATAAGAGAGTCAAGTTGAGAGGTTTTCACTGAAAAACAAAACATTAAACATCATTCAAAAATCTATTTTTTCTAATTACCGATTTTTTTTCTGATCTTTAAGTGATTTTCATGTCAACATGATCATTCTTTTATTATCATCTTTGTCCTAATTTTTCAGGTTGTCATCGTCCTGGTCATTAACTTTATCGTGATCATTGCCATTTATCAGATGATTGTTATCATCATTAGTATTGTCATTTAAATGATCTTTGTCATTATAGCTTTTGATCGTTATTGTCATTATTATTGTATGCATCATTTTTGGTTTTCATTTCATCTTCGTAATTTTTATGATTTCAGCACAATCTAACATCAGCATCATTGTCCTAATATTTGTTTTGATCCTTGGCAAAATTATCATCAGATGAAACAATGAGTAGAGTCCCGTAGCCTTGAGATATTTTAAAAGAGGGGCGAGGGGATTGCTATTGCTAATTTTACCCTCTTCTGATTATAAAAAGGCAAAAAATATTTTTGGGGAGGGGGGAGGGAGGTGGTTTTTCAAGAAAATATCTTGCCTGGTTGTTTATATGACTGTGCATCTACTTTATCCATATTCTGTTTGAGAGGAGCTGGATTTAGTTTAAAAGCCTCTTCAAATGCTCCAAAATCAATCTCGTTCATGATCTGAAGATTTTAAAATAAAAATTATATTAATCAATTTATTTGTAAATTATTGAGTTAAGAAAATAATCGATAATTTTTTTTTGGTTATCGTCTTTTAAGAAGAAATACTTTATTGAAACAATTAAGAAAACAAGAGGAAGTATTTACGAATAAAAAGTCAGGTAAAGGATTGACCATGATAAATCTGTGAGTTATTTCTATCTGATGTTCCCGTCAAGAAAATGTTAAGAAAAATCCCGAGTACTTTGCTACCAAGATGGGATAAAAAAAATCTTAACTTTTACAAATTGAGTTATGATTCAATCTTATACAACAAACATCCTTTCTTTCGCTAAATTTTTATGAATAATTTCAATGATTAATTTATAAGATAAACTTGGAAGATTAAACCAGGCTCAATTGGAATATATATATATATATATATATATATATTTCGACATTTCTGCGAAGTCTTTATCAGCACTAAAGGTTGGAGAGTCAAACTTTTATATTCTATGTTTTATAATTTATCCATAATTTTTTACCTTTTCATCATTCATTGTGTACCAAACTGTATCTTTTATATCGTTAGGTTTTAACGCCTAGAAGGTCTTAAACTCAGAACAAGTTTTAAACCAAGCACAGTTTATTTTTGGATCATGTCTTTGTCTTATCTTTATGAAGATATTAGGAGAACGGGCCCATCTCTCTCTAAAATAGCAGACAAGGTTTGAGTTTAGACTTGAGTTTGAGGCGGATTTTAAAGTGTCTCTTTCCTTCTCTAACTCTTTTATCCGTATCTAGACAAATAAATAAAAATTAATTAAAATGTTTTTGAAATAGAAACAAACTTAAAGAGACTGTAGATGTATTTACAAGTAACCATCCAACTGTGCCCTTGAAACCTTTGTCAAGACTAAAAAGGAAAACTTGATGTTTTCAAGTTTGATTTCTCAATAAAATTGACTTGCGGATTTTATGCTACAGAGCGAATGAAGCAAAAAGTAAATTTTGTACTTTTTAAGATGGAAAACAGTATTGAAATTACGTGAACAGTCTCTTTAAAAAGCATGTTTTAAGCACAGACGACCTTTAGAGCTGTAACAAATGCGGATTCACACGTCTGATCACATTTCTTTGGGCTGCAGGAGGAGCAGTTTCTTGTTAAGATTTTTTTGTAAAAANATTTTCTACCTTCTCTTCCTTCTCCTTATACATGTTGACCTCCCTCTGTATCTCATCCAACCTGTTCTCGTAGCTCACCTGAACCAAAAAAATGATTTTAAAAAGAAAGTTTTTTACAGGACAAGTTTAGGGAATTAAAATATTGAAATATTTACTTATTTTCGGATAAAATAACCCCCACTTAACTTTTAAACAGATATTTTATAAGTGTCCATTACTCAATGACTCCATGGCTCAATGGCTCAATGGCTCAATGACTCAATGACTCAATGACTCAATGACTCAATGACTCAATGACTCAATGACTCAATGACTAAATCAATAAACATCTCAATAAATAAATAAAAGAATAAATGAATGACCTGCTGGCTCATAGCTTCAGATTCTATTTCAGCAAGCTGTTCTGAGAGTCGTGCACACTCGTCCTCTAGTTCTGCTACCTGAAACAGAAATCTTTTTTAGAAGACGACATTCAAAATCAGATTCAATAAATTTAGAAAAGAAATTAATTAATTTAACTGATTTGCTTTCAAAACAGTATTTTAGTCGATTAACATTTTAAAAAGAATTGTTGTGAACTGCAAATTATGAAAGTATACAAAAATTTACAATCAACCAACCTTTACCCTCAGAACCCTTAAAACCAATGTAAAATTAAACATACAGACGGGTTTAACAATGATTCCCCTGGGGATTTAAATGGTAAAAAGGGAATATTTGTCTGACCTGATCCAAAGCAGCTTGTTTACTCTCAGCCTCCTCCATCAGAGCAGCAACATCAAACTCATTGTCCACATAAGCAGATATCTTAAAATATTTTTTTAAAAACTTTTTTTAAAACAAAATTAGATAATTAAAGAGACTGTACACTGTTTAATTGTTTCAGGACTGATGATGATGATATTTTATCGAAAAATGTATCCTGAACTGACAGTCTGTATTTTTTTTAAAGTTTGGTTGAGATTGCCTTACACGGAGGTCCTGGTTTAACTTTTTAATGTATACTAAATAGTGTACATGCAAGTTTCAGTGACCTTTGATTTTTAGACTGGCTTGTCTGATTCACAGCGATACCCTTTAAAGCTTTTTGACTAGCGCATTTCTGCTTCAAAAATAATACTTTTAAAGAAAGAAAATCGAAGATATATACTACATTTATGATCAGATAGGAGTTAAAAAGGGTACCGATAGAACATTAGGCATTCCCTCATAAGCTTTGAGGAGCACTACAACGATAGTCCCATCAAGAGGAAAATTTTTTGCTATGTTAAATGAATCGTCCAGTTTATGGCCGACTTACTTGAACAGCCAGTTCGTCAGATTCATGGTTCTTGAGCCGGTCAAGACACAGGTCAAGCTCCAGGTTGGTAAACTCATATTGTAGAGCTACGCGGAAATTCATGTCCTGAAATAATTCATGTCCTGAAATAATTCATGTCCTAAAATAATTCATAATATACCCCTGCTTTGTTATATATATACATACCTCCACTGAGTGTACGACTATATTGATGAACTGCATGCAGGCGACCATGAAATCTATCTGGAACTCCTGAGGGCTCGTGAAGTAGCTGACCAGGGTTTCAAACCTGTGAGTCTCTCGCATCTCCTAAACAATTGACATTTTTATCATTAACAAATAACAATATCAAAACTGAGATGAAATGTCACCAAAATGGAATAGAAACTTTCAATTTTACGATGAAGTGCTTAGGCTTCGACTCCAGTTTATAAAAGCGGCAACGAATCAAATATAATATACAAAACATACACACAATTGTTGTAAACATTGAGACTTCGATTAAACTGCTTTTTCATATTTTATTTAACTATTACAATTTTCAAAGAAAGGACAAAATCTTAATTTATTATTTAAAACGGGAATTCGGATCCTTAATTTTTACTTTTATTCGTCAATCGTCATCTAACAGCAAAGTTGGCATTTAACAATTCCAGAATCAATATTTACTTTGTTTCTTCAGTGTCCATATTTGTTATAATTTTGTTTTCATATTTGTGTTGACAAAAATATAAAATTAAGTAAATATTAAAAATTTACGCATTCATTCCATAATGTTCTGAACATTGAAATCGAAATATATAAATATGTTTTTAAATAGGCATGTAAAAAATTGATGTTTTGAGAAATAAAGATTTTTTAAGTATTTTATAATTTCGTTTTCGGATCCGGATCCAAGGATACGTATTTTTTGCAGATCTGATCCGAACTTTTATGTGGAGTGTCTTTAATCTGACTTCTTCTAAAAATTGCGAATTCAGAGCCCGCGATTTAAAAACTTCGGCTCGGTTCGTAATTCCTTAAACCCAGCTTTAAGACCCAATCTTCAACCCAAATCTGACGACAGCTTGTGTCACGTGATTGACAGCTGCAAAATCTTTGGCTTTACTTAAAAGAGTTAGGCCCAATGAAAATAAAACCGACCTTGGTTGGTTTTCGTGGAGAATAAGGCTTAATGTTAAGGCTTGGTCTCATAAAAACACGGAATGCGACTATTCCTACCATGAAAATCCACCAAATAGAATATTCAACCGATTTTTTGAACTCAACTCTGTGGAAAATAAGATGCAGCTTGAATCTGAAAGCTCAAGTCGTAAATAAGGCACAACGACAGCTTAGACCTGAGTCGTATTTTCTTGAATTTTTTAAATCGTCGGCTCAGGACATTATATTAATTCAAAGAATCTGGAAGCAAATCGAGTTCCTCATCTAAAATTCATTCTCAAATATTTTAGATATTCTGAAAGGTCCGTTGTTGATAAAATGGCTTTTTGTATCACAGATTTTCGTGGATTTTAGTTTAGTCATACTTAGATAAATATTGCGTGAACATTTCTTCAAAATTAGATGTGCAATGAATGATGTAATTCTCAAACTTGTTTATATAACCCCCCCCCTCTCATTCTCTCCTTGAGTAAAAAAAAACTTCACAATCCATCGTAAAAGCAACCCCTGCCCCACCCCAACACAATTAAAAAATTTAAATGATAAAAGTGAAGTTGACCCAAAATAGTGCTTTCTTTGCAGTAAAAGTAGCTAGTATAACTTAAAATGTCAGTTAGAATTTGCTCTCCTTTTGAATATTTCTTATATCCTTCCCAATCCCATTTCATTCCAATCCCATCCCACCAAATCCCATCCCAATCCTAATCCCATTCCTATCACAAACCCATCCCACCCAATCCCAATCCCAATCCCAATCCCATCCCATCTTCATTCCATCTCAATCCCATCTCAATCCCATCTCAATCCCATCTCAATCCCATCTCAATCCCATCTCCATCCCATCTCCATCCCATCTCCATCCCATCTCCATCCCATCTCCATCCCATCTCAATCCCATCTCAATCCCATCTCAATCCCATCTCAATCCCATCTCCATCCCATCTCCATCCCATCTTAATCCCCTCTCATCCCAAATATCTCCGATCACATTTTCAAAATAACCCTTCCACCAGAGTAAAAAGTGGTTAGTATCAAATCAAATCAAATCAAATCATGCTTTTAGGGACGTCCTACACCCCCGTCCCACACCCCAAAATTGAAGTGACTATACTAAATCAATAATGAAGTGAGGTCTTACGATTTGTATTTTTTGCTTATTTCCACTTGATTGTTTAATAAATTTTGCAAAGAGGTTTTGTTATCGACATAAATTTTACCACTAACAAGAAAGAAAACGTACGAAATCAACAAAAAGTGCATAAAACTTGAAAATAATAGAGATTCTTTCTTTTTCTTAAATGAAGAAATATTTGTATTTAATTGTCCTTGGGTATCCTCCCCCTTCATAGTAAAAACAACACCAAAAGCTGCAAAAACTGTTATATTGTCATAAAATAAAACCTAGAATCACACTTGAAGGTCGACAACATCGTAAAACGAAGAAGATTTTAAACAAATGTTATTCAAATTCATAACTTATAAATCAACAAAAACTAAAGCAAAAATTATTAAGAATGAGATTATGCATAAACGTACATTTCTATATTTCACAAAATTACCTTTAACAAGGGGTAAGGGGCAACGAGATGTTCTCCCAAAGGCATTCCCAATTATTTTAAATTACCAATTCCCAAATAGCATTTACCCAAATATACAAATAAACAAATCTTAAAAGGATACTTAAGAACATTTTTACAAGGTCAAAAAGGACATTCACATTTAATTTTCACATTTAATCAGTGCTAACCAAAACCTAAAATTTACTCTGGATGGTTCATTAAGATTAAGCCAAAAAAAACTTTAAAATTTTTCATTTTCGCAAATTATCAATAAATTTTTGAAGAATTTGCATGACCTGGATTTGTTCTGTTCAAATTCAGAATCCGAATCTGCATCCAAATGAAATGGGTCCTAAGCTAAGCTTGTGGAAATTTGCTCTTGGGAAGTTGTTTCTTAATAAAATGCGCCTTTGGAAAAACCTACCATCTACGGAAGCGCCATTATCTGATTTACTTTAAATTCTGACATTTTTTCAGGAGAAAGCAATGCACATTCAACAAGAGCACGTAGATTTCCCTGTTTCTGGTTTTCAATTATTTTCCTAGATATATAATTTAAAATTGAACCCCTGCTACAGAACAAACAGTCAAATATACCAATTTTAACACTTTAAACCTTCCAAACATATTTGCAAACACAATTGCACAACACTTTACTCCGTGTGACTATAATTTCAACGTAATAAAAAGAACCTTAGCCTCAAAAGTGCCATGCCCGATTTACAACGGTATCTAATATAACTGGATCTGAAAACAATGCAAGAAATATTGGCTGTTTTCTTGAAAAAGATTAATTCTGGAATCACATTCCTCGCCAAAAAATTGAAATTGAAATTTGCCAATTTTCGGAGAGAAAAGTAAGGATATCCCCCTCATTGAGGCCAAAAAAATGATTTAATGGTTACAGCTGCGAATCTAACTTATCTTTGAATGGAGAGTCTATTGAAATTTTGCCGGCCGCCATTTTACAACTTTTCTTTTGATCTCTATTTTAATAAAAATGCGAAAATTTATTAAGGCTATTTTTTAATCTTATTTTTCGCACATTATTTCATTCATTTCAATTTTTAAATTTTAAGTGACATCAGTTCATTCATTGGCAATAAATCAGCGAATAAACGACATCAATGCTTCAAAGATATAATTTTACTTAATAAATATTTCAAGAAAACAATTAATTGCATCTAATATATTGGTTTTCTTAATTCATATCCTATTAGTTTTTTGAGGAAGGGAAGCTATTTACCTTTGTATAAAGATTATGCTATTTTTCCCGTTTTAGGTGTTCTTTCAAAAAATATTGAGTAATAAACTTTGAAAAGAGAAATCTAATTATAAAACCCTATCAAAGTTCAAAAAGAAAGAAAAATAAAAAACTTTGCCTCTGCGTTTTTAATATTGAGTTACTTTCAAGTCACCAAGATGACAATGCCTGATTCACAACGGTACCCTTGAAACCTTTACCTGAACAATATTGTGGGAAATATTGTCTTTTTCTAGGTTTAAAAGTGTTATGAGTCTCATTATTTTGATATATTTTCTGCAGTGGAAATGCGCAACTGTGAAATAATCAGTTTCCAAAAATATGACCTTATATATATAATACATATGTATAATTAGTACTTGACCAAACAAAATCTTTAAGGGCACCTTTGTGAATCGGGTAAGGCCATCTTAGCTTTGAAGGCCACCTGAAATCATGCTCACAGCCCCTTTAATGATGTGAGTGTGAAGCTACTTTTCAAGGACCTTGGTATTTAGATCTTCAATATCAAGCTAGTTTTAGTTTCTACGGACTGCAAGGACTGTAAGAGTAATTTCAAGTGATCCTCCATGCAAAGATGGCAATGCCCAATTCACAACGATACCCTTTAAACCTTTATCTGATCAATAATGTTGAAAATACTGTCATTCCTATCGTAAAATGGGCAAGTCACTTTTTCCGAGAAACCCCAATTGAATAAATCAGTTAAACATTGACATATAAATCTTACAGACAAAGCTTTTAAGGGTATCCTATCCAGTGCAGTTGTTAGTCGGGCATGGAGGGTCACTTGAAATTACACTAACAGTCCCTTTAATCCACCATAAATGAGTGTACAGTCCCTTTCTACCTGTTTAAAGTTATCGAAAGCTGAAAGAATGATACTGTGTCCCCCCTTGAGAAGGCAGATCGCTGCCAACAACTCCAAGACCAGCGCCTTCGTTCTCAGCTTCTTGTGGATTAGGGACAGCGCTATAGAGTTGATCGCCTGTCAATAAGCAATATAAAATTTTCAAATTATAATATAAAATAATATCGCTGATTTTCCTTTGAATTGAAAAAAAATTCAAGAAATATCCTAAACTTTTAGGAGAAAATTTGGAAACCAATTGATAATTTAACATTATAGCCTGATAATTACTTCATAACACGTGTATAATGAAATTCAACAAGCGGTTCCATGAATAGTTAATTCAGATACTTTCAATTTCCGATAATTGGCGAGAGCCCTTTAAAAACTATTACTTCAGCATTTTCACCAAATCTTTCAAAATTAGTCCAATTAAAATTTTTAAAAATAATCAATTTTAGAACTTTATTTCTGAAAATTAAAATTTAATATTTTTAGGGAAAATAAAAAATTACTTTTTTAAAAACGAGAAGTTTTTTAGGAATTCTAATTCTGATTTTTTAATTTAAGAAATCGATGATATATTTTGAGGAAAACAGTTAGCAAGTATTAAAGAATGAAAATCGAAAGTCCATCGATTAATTTTTCGTATCCTTGTTATACAAATATTTGTGTTTATATTCAACTGTTCCTGTTTATGCTTTATCACCATATTGAACCCATACTTGTTGTTCATGATCGCTCGAAGGCACATAATGCACACATGAATATCGTCCGTCACATCGCCGATTTTACGATCTTTCTCACGTTTGGCAGATTTTCTAAACTCATTTCGAGTCAACTCGGATTTTCGACTTCGAATGGAAAGATTGATTTTTTTACTCGAGCTACCGAAACTACCGCCATCGGACAGATTTGATTCCTCTTCCTCGAACTCGAGTTTTTGTCGCATCACTAGTAACCTCGAGGACAGATATTCAATAAGAACATCGAGTCCTCGAACATCTTCACTTAGAAACTCTCGAACCCACTCGATATGATTCGTCCTGAGGGAAATCTCGAGGTCTTTAAGGACTTGGGTCGAAGTTGAAGTTAATTTTCGAGTCCCTTTATAGGCCCCGGGGTCAAGAAACATCCGTAGTTTCGTCAAATATTCTTGGGGGGGATCCTGATAATCATATACATTCAATCAATCAATCAGACGTTTAGGGACACCTGTGACCACATCAAAATCTCATCATGACTTACACTGATCTGAGATTTAAAGAAGGATTTACAATTTACATTTCTCATACAGGGCAAAAGAAATCTAGAAACATAATATTTGGAAGAAGATGATAAATAATATAGCTTCATAAACTGAATATTAGGATAAGGATGGATGTATAATGAATATATAAATGAATATACAAATAAATAGATTAATTTATACAAGAATGAATGTATGACTGAATGTATGAATGAAGAAGTGAATATATAAATAAATGCAAGAATGTATACAAGGATAAATCTAAGAAAGAATACAATAAAAATACTGGGATGTCTGAAGGAGTGAATTTAGGAATGAATACAAGAATGAATGAATATGAATTCCTTTGCATGAATGAGATCGTGATCACAGAAAGAATGAAGTAAGGATGAATGTAAGAATGAATGTAAGAATGAATGTAAGAATGAATGGGAGAATGAATGTAAGAATGAATGTAAGAATGAATTTATATGAATATACGAATGAATATAAGAATAAATGCAAAAATGAATGTATATGAATATACGAATGAATATAAGAATAAATCTAAGAATGAATGTATATGAATATACGAATGAATATAAGAATGAATGTATAGAATTCCTTAGCATGAACGAGATCGTGATCACACACCGTATCCCACTTCTTCTCATTTGGGAAACTTTTCAGAATTTTTGCCCGTTCCGGCGGTAAATCCATCTGTATTAGAACCTCGTTAAACCGTCGTTCTGAAATATACAACAATAAGGCGATTAAAATAAAGCTCCGGCGGTAAATCCACCTGTATCAGAACCTCGTTAAACCGCTGTTCTGAAATACATAACAATAAGACGATTAAAATGAAATTCCGGTGGTAAATCCATCTGCATTAGAACCTCTTTAAACCGCCATTCTGATATAAACAACAATAAGGCGATTAAAATGAAATTCCGGCGGTAAATCCATCTGTATTAGAACCTCGTTAAACCACTGTTCTGAAATATACAACAATAAGGCGATTAAAATGAAATTCCGGCGGTAAATCCATCTGTTTTAGAACCTCGTCAAACCGCCGTTCTGAAATATACAACAATAAGGCGATTAAAATGAAATTCCGGCGGTAAATCCATCTCGATTAAAACCACTTTAAACCGCCGTTCTGAAATATACAATAACTATGCTTTTATGGCGCTTCGCGCCCATCTTCTATTTCAACTTTTAATTGTGGCATTTTCTGTGAGCATCTTCTATTTGTACAGTATTAAAACAAAAACAAACATAAAGTTTGCGGATTTCATAATTTTTTTCTCGCATCTTCAAAGTTTAACAAAAATACAAAACTATTTAACACAAATTTCATAAATTTTGATCATTTAAAAACTTTCCCTGGGGTCACGTGAGGTCCCACAAAAAATTTGGGCCCGAGCAGTATAGCCGTTTTGACGTTTATTGGATACAAACAGACAGACAGACAGACAAGCATAGTATATACAATAATAATTATTGCCCAATTTGGCGACAAACCACTAAAAACAATAAAAAAACGGTAAAAAAATATTTTTGAAAACGGGGAAGGTTTCAATAAAACCCATGAATAAGTATTTTTGTGTGGCTTGAGTTCAAACTAAAATCATAATAAGAGTTTTGGGGATTTAAGGGATAAATTTGAGGGAAAATTCGAAAACTACGAAGAAGGGGGGGGGGGTCGAGCTTGAAATTATCTAAAAAACTGTATCAAATATTCAAAGCTATTTATGAATATTTGTATAAAAAGAGAAAATACAACATTTCATCGACCAAATTAGCAGATAAAATATAATAGAACAAACCACACATTGAATTGGTTCTAGGAGAGAGG